TGCAATTTCTCTCTCTCTCTCTCTCTCTCTCTCTCTCTGTGTGTGTGTGTGTGTGTGTATGTGTGTGTGTTCGCGTGTGCATGAGCGGCTGCGGCGTGTGTGTGGGTGTCCTCACTCTTCACAGTTTCAATGTTTCAGGTAAAGGACCAAACATACTTCCTTTCACATCTTTCACAGTCACAACTTGAAAGGCTTCTCTTTCCTCTTGGATGCATCCGTAAGGTGAAGTTGGACCTTTTGTATGAACTTCTAAGCACACGCATCCATTGTTTTATTCATGGCTTGAGCTTTTTTTGTTAGCCCTTATATACATTTCCATGTCTATTATCAGGAAGAAGTTAGAGGGCTCGCCAGAATCTTTGAATTACCCAACCAAGATAGGAAGGATTCACAAGGAATATGCTTTCTAGGAAAGGTATGCTTTGCTACAGGAAATTTACAACTATTTGCAATTTACTTGAGTAGAAGTTCAATCGCAGTGTATTTGTGATTGAACTTGATATATAAAGACTTGAATGGTTGCATCTTGTGCTTTAATGAGCCACTAGTTTACATAAATTTAATCATTTCAGGATATGTCAACAGTTGCTGTACCCCTGAACGTAAGACTCTCTTAGTACTCTTTTCGCGGCAGTTAATCTTTTGTTTGGATCATTGGGTTGCAGATAAAGTTTAGTGAATTTGTTGCCAGACATATTGGGGAGAAAGAAGGTGTGATATTAGAAGCTGAGACAGGAGACTTCCTAGGCACGCACAAAGGTTTTTGGTTCTATACAATCGGTCAACGTCAGGGATTACGTCTTCCTGGTGGGCCGTGGTATAGCTTTTACACGAGTACTTTTTCCACCATTCAGTATTTTTTCATTCTCATGTAGTGGTGGAGATTTCTGACATTTGTTTGGTTGTTATATAGGTATGTTGTGGAAAAAGATGTGGAGAATAATGTGGTGTTTGTCTCGAGAAATTATTTTTCGGTTGACAAGAAAAGGCGCGTATTTCGTGTTGGGTCTTTGAGGTGGCTAAACGGTGCTCCTCCAGGGCAGACCACTAAAATCCAATGCAAGGTATGACTTCTCTTTCTCCATGAGTTCTTTGATGTACAGTCTTGCTATGGAACCATGTGCATAGGTTTCAAGTAATAATTACATTAGGACATGTTGGGTCCACAAGGGAAACTTCCGTTAGCTTAGTGCTAGAATTGATGTCTGCAAATTTCCCTTTCAATAGTTTTGTTTCAGCTTTAGTCCAAATGTAATTGTGAAATAAATAAGCTTTTCAGATACTTTCTTGAACATTCATACATTTTGAAAGAGTTTCGGAATCTGATTTAATAACTGGCATTTGTTGGACAAAGTAAACTTCCTTTTGAGCGGAAAATGGTGGTGATGAATGTAAACAGTCATGATGGTAAAACTAGTTGACAGTGGAAGTAGATCAAGTAGTAGTTTGATTGGGTACTCCCAAGAGAGAGAGAGAGAGAGAGGGAAGAGAAGAAAAGAAAAAGGGATACCTTGTACTGAATTTATTGTCATGTAAAGTTAAAAAAGACTTCAATTGCTATTACAGTATCCACCACTACTAAGCTTGTCGTGATCATGAAATTTCAAATCTTGTAACAGGTTCGGCATGGACCTGATTTTTACACTTGTGAATTATCTTTAGAGGAAGTCGATGCCAACGGCCACAATATTGGGGTTGTCAGATTATCGAAAGATGATCAAGGCCTGGCGGCTGGGCAGTTTGCCGCTTTCTACCAGGACTCGACCTGTCTCGGGTCTGGTGTGATCTTAGAGTCCTGGGATGATCAAGGGTTTCCCATTTGTGATCGGGCCCTCAAGATTGCTAAAATCGAAGATAAATCGAAGCTCGGGAAGCCAGTCAAGATTAAAGTGGTTGCAGATAGTAGTAACAGTAAAGAGGAAAAAGATGAGAGAACATGATCGATTCTGAAGTTTAGGGTGGTGGATTACAATTTACAGCACATTTCATTCACCGTTTAGTTTTTATTCGTTGAAAGGAAAATAGAAATATAACATAGGGAAAGAAAACTAAACTATTTTGTAATAACATTTAACGATACCCTTCATTAAGGTATCTACTTATTCTCCAACTGCAGATTGTGGTTGGAGATTTTGTCATGATGTCATCGGTTTCACCTTCACATTTCTTTGGTACTTTTAAGGTTTAGGTCTACTTCGGATTTGTCGTATCTATGTAGTTCCTGTAAGAAAAATTAGTTTTTGGACTCATTCATCGGTTTCATTTTTTTTTTAAGTGGAAAACTTAGAAAATATTCAAAATCAATTTAAGTGTGACTGAGAAATTAATTTTAAGTGTGATATGTGGAATAATTGAGTACAAAAGTAGAAACATCTATTAAAAAAATGCTACTATACCAACTTTAATAAAAGTCAACGCCCTGACCGGCTAAGAATCGAGTCGCCTTTGATGTTCTCGTCGGTCGAACGTCGACACCAGCACAAACACTCACACTAGAAGGATTTTTTGGTAAAGAGACGCTCAAGTCGGTCTCAAGCTCAACTCTCTAGTAATAATAGTATATGGAAAATGATACAAGTACATAATAAATGTACATAAAGGTGCACATAACACTCACATTAAGTGGAGTCCACTTCATTTTTTTTATTTTTGGTGGTCTCACTCAATGTGAGTGTTATATACACTCCTATGTACAATATTATGTACTTATAGCATTACTCATAGAGAAATCGTGTGGAAAATGATAAAAACCTTACTCCTATATATAGGGGTGAGATACCTGTTCTAGAAGCTGCTCGGGTTAGCTGAGCTGGCTGCCCAAGAGCTGCCCGGCCTGCCCGATCGTACAACCCCTAGTATAGATGTGTTACAAACGATTATATCAGATCACGCCACGCGTCCCCAGCACGTGTGTCAGAAATTCCTTTGAAGGCTCTTAACTTCGACCAAATCTGGACAAGTCGCTGGTGCTGCCCTTGGTATGTGAACTAGTTGACCAGTCATAGATTCCATTGCTCGACCTGTCGGTCCTTCGACCAGACCCTCCAACAAGCTGAGGCCAGCCTGTTCTCCTAAGGTTCTAGCGGTTATGGCTTTCGACCGTAATCAACCCGCTTAGACTCTATTTGACCAGATCTATCTCTTCGGTTTATTCAACCGGCCAGCTGGACCGGTTATAGGTATGATATCCTATATCAAACTTAGTGTACTGCAATTAGGTTGACAACGCAAGTGGAAACATCTATTAAAAAAATACACAAGTTGATGTTTTCATTAAAAGAACAACTTGTGTATAATTAGGTTATGTATAATAGTAGCATTTCCCTTTTCCTTTTCATTAAAAAAATGTTAATGAATAATTAAGTTGACAACACAAGTGAAAACATCAAACTTATGTATCTTTTTAATAGATGTTCATACATGCATTGTTACCGGGTAAAATTACAGTCCCGTTACAGAATTATTTCGTTGTGATTTTTAGCTGTTAGATGCACATACTACATTTACATGTGTATCTAACGGTTAGAAATCCTAACAAAATGGTTCCGTAACGAAACTATTGTTAACATAGTTGTAAACTAAGTTGTAAACATAGTTGACATTTTTCTAAGTTGGTATAGTGACATAGTTGTAAACTAAGTTGGTATAGTGACATTTTTCTTTTCATTTTAAATTATCTCACTACATTCTTTCCAAGTAATCAAATTATGTAAGTTGTTCTTATGACAATTATTTTCAAATATTTTCCACATAATTATCTCTTATTATTATTATTATTATTATTATTATTATTATTATTATTATTATTATTATTATTATTATTATTATTATTATTATTATTATTATTATTATTATTATTATTATTAT